TAGTTGAGGCGGTTTGGAGGGCTACAAAGTATCTCCCATTTTATGTTCTTCAGAAGCAGATTAACCTCTTCGTGTGCTCCTTCCTCGTCTACTTCAAACCTTCTTTCAGGCCAAATGGTCCTGGCCTTCAGTTTTTGAATATATCTTCTTGGGTTGCTCTGGTAAATCGAGATTGATTAAAAGCTCTTGCTCGTGAAGAGCCTTCTCATGCAATCTTATGTTTCTTTTGAGGAACTTATTTCTTAGAGACCATTTTCTGAAAGTTTCTTGAAATTTTTTTGAAAAGAAGATGAATGAGTGCTAGGGTTTGTAAGTGGTGAGAGAGCAAGAAGAAGTTTGTGAATAAAAGTGAATAAATCTAATTAACTACACAGCAGAAGCACATTAAAGTGGGTGAGTAGTGGTTGGGAGCCCATATTTAATATCTTAAATGCAGGTTTAACTGATAAAAGTTTGTGTTGCAAAGGAAAGTTTGCATCGCGACAGTGACGTCACGAAGGTTAGTTCGCATTGTGATGGTCGCGTCGTGAAGGTTAGTTTGCATAACGAACTTAGTAGAATTTTGTTTTCTGCAGAACCTATCACATTGCACTCTGTTACCCCCACATACCCCAAAATTTTGAAACAAAATCAAATATAAAGCAGGAAAAGTACTTACAATATTGGGTTGCCTTCCAACCAGCGCTTGTTTAACGTTGTTAGCTCGACGCCTGTTGTTTCTTCATGGTTCGTTCAATGGGATTATGGTGGTAATTCAACCAATCTCAACACCTAAGTATAACTTCATCCTTTGGTCGTTAACGGTCCAAGATGCATTAGTGGTTGGATCTTCCAATACAATTTCTCTATATGGGTTGATGTCCTTTACTTGGAAAGGTTCGGACCACTTTGATTTGAGTTTTCTGGGAAATAATCTTAACAGCAAGTTGAAGAGTAGAACCATCTTCCCTATTTTGAAATCTTTGGTGAGGATTCTACTATCATGATACCTCTTCACCTTTTCCTTATATATTTTTGAAGATTCATATGCTTGCAGCCTTAGTTCATCAATCTCGTGTATTTGTAGCTTCCTTTTCGCACGGCTTGTTGTGGATTGAAATTAAGAGACTTTAAAGCCTAAAAATCCTTGTGTTCTAATTCAACCGGTAAATGGAAAGCTTTACCGTATACCATTTGAAATGGTGTAAGACCAGTTGGTGCTTTGTAAGCAATATGATATGCCCAAAGAGCTTCATCAAGCTTTAACGACCAATCTTTTCATGAAGTTGAAACTGTTTTTTCTAAGATTCTCTTTATTTCATGATAAGATACTTCCGCTTGTCCATTCGTTTGTGGGTGATATGGTGATGCCACTTTGTGTGCGAAGCAATAATGTTCAAGAGCTCTTGCAAGTTGTGCATTGCAAAAATGAGACCCTTCATCACTAATCAAAACTATTGGTGTCCCAAATCTTGTGAAGATGTTTCTTTTTAAGAATTTTACCATTGTTTTACCGTCTGCTTTTGTTGACGCAATAGCCTCTACCCATTTGGATACGTAATCAACTGCCACTAAGATATATTCATTGTTGAAAGATGAAGGAAAAGGTCCGACAAAATCAATCCCCCAACAATTAAACACCTTTACCTCTAACATGCTTTGTAATGGTATTTCATTTCGCTTGGAAATTCCACCAGCCCTCTAACAATTATCACAATTCTTGATGTGTTCATATGTGTCTTTGAATAGAGATGGCCAATAAAATCCTGCTTGTAAGACTTTGACAGTTGCTCGCTCTCTGCAATAATTGTCGGCATATGGTGAATTATGGCAATGCCATGTGATGCTTCTGGCTTCCTCTTTAGTAACGCGTCTTTGCAATAACCCATCAGATCTAATTTTGAATAAGTATGGATCATCTCATACATAATGAGTGGAATCACACAAGAATTTCTTCTTTTGTTGCCAATTAAGATCTTCGAGGATGATACCGGCAGCCTTATAATTTGCAAGATCCGCAAACCATGGTCTTTCCTCAATCATGAGCAATTTCTCATCTGGAAATTCCTCAAGGACCGCTCTTTCCTCTTTTGTAATCTCGAGATTTACCAATCTTGATAGATGATCCACAACCAGATTTTTTATGCCTTTCTTGTTACGGATCTCTAAATCAAACTCTTGTAATAGGAGCATCCATCAGATTATTCTCGGTTTTAAGTCTGCTTTATAGATCAAGTACTTGATGGCTGCATGGTCAGTATAGCAAATAATCTTGGATCCTATGAGATAAAACCGAAATTTTTCTAATGCGTACATTATAGCTAGCAATTATTTTTTTGTGGTTGCATAGTTAACTTGTGCATCATTTAGAATTTTTGTTGCATAGTGTATAGCATGAAAAAATTTGGTTTTTCTCTGTCCTAAAACAGCCACGACCGTGTAATCACTTACATCGCACATGAGTTCAAAATTGAGTGTTCAATCGGGTGCAGTGATTACTGGTGCAGTAATTAATTTTTATTTTAAACTTTCAAAAGCAATTAAACAATCTTTATCAAAATTAAATGACTTGTCTTTGTTGAGGAGATTGCTTAATGGTTTGGCGATTTTGGAAAAATCCTTGATGAATCGTCGATAGAACCCGGCATGGCCAAGAAAATTTTGAATTCTCTTGATGTTGGTTAGTGATGGTAGCTTTCCAATGAAATCAATCTTTGCTTTATCTACTTCGATCCCTCTGGCTAAAATTTTATGTCCCAGAACAATGCCTTCGGTCACCATAAAATTGCACTTTCCCAATTTAGTGCCAGATTTGTCTCCACACATCGTTTTAATACGGCGTCCAAGTTTCTCAAGCATAGCTCAAATGATTCCCCAAACACGGAGAAGTTGTCCATGAATACGTCGATGCACTTTTCGGTCAAATATGAAAAAATGGCCTGCATACATCTTTGGAATGCTGCAGATGCATTGCATATACCAAAAGGCATTCTTCGTTATGTGAATACTCCAAATGGACAAGTGAAGGTTGTCTTCTCATGGTCCTCGGGGTTTATGGTAATTTAATTATATCCTGAATAACCGTCTAAGAAACAATAGAACTGCTTCCCGGATAACCCTTCTGGTCCATGAATAGAAGTGGAAAATGGTCTTTTCTTGTTGCCTGGTTGAGTCTTCTATGATCAATGCACATATGCCATCATGTGATTGTCCAGGTCGGAATCATATCTTTTTTCTTGTTTGTTATCACAGTCATACCACCCTTCTTTGGTACTATTTGCACAGGACTCACCCAAGCACTATCCGAAATTAGATAGATCATTCATGCTCTTAATAGCTTGACTACCTCTTTGCGTACGACTTCTTTCATTGTTGGATTCAATCGCTATTGTGGTTGGGAAATTGGTTTGTAATTTTCTTCCATCATAATGTTGCGCATACAATATGATGGACTTATGCCTTTTAAATCTAAGAGCACCCAACCGATTGCGGATTGATATTCGTTAAGAACTTGGATGAGCTTCTTTTCTTCATAGTTGGCCAGAGATTTGCTGATTATTACTGGCTTCTTGCATTCATCATCGAGGAACACATATTTCAAGTGATCCAGTAATAATTTCAATTCCAATTTAGTGCCTTTTTCCACAGAGCTTTCTTGTAAGTCCTCAGTTTTTGCTTCCTTCAAATGAATTTCTTTTGTTGAATCTAGCTTTGTTAAGCATTCATTGATTTGTTTTTTTTCTTTTGGATCAAGAACGTCAAAAACATCCATGAGGGCTCTTTCTAATGGTGATGTCAAGTGTGTTTTTTTGTACTTCAAGTATTTCTTTATCAATTGCATCAACTTGAAAAAAGGCTCTTTTATCCTTGGAATGCTTCATGGCGTGAAAGAGGTTGAAGGTAACTTCTTCATCTTGAACGCATATTTTCATTAAACCGTCATCAATATCAATCATCATTTGAGCGGTTTTCATGAATGGACGCCCCAAAATCAGTGATACATAATCATCTTCCTCTACATCCATGACAACAAAATCAATAGGGAATAAAAATTTATCTACCTTGACCAATACGTCTTCTGCAATACCAGATGGTTTTGTGACTGATTTTTCGGCTAGTTGCAACGTCATCCGTGTATTCTTCATCTCCAAATCACCAATTCTTCGTATTACTGAGAATGGAATGAAGTTGATACTTGAGCCTAGGTCAATCAGTGTTTTTCCCAACGTTTACGTTTTCAATTGTGACTGGCAACGTTGTTCTTCCTGGATCTTTTTCTTTTTATGGAAGTGTTCATTGAATGATCGCACTACAGCTTGCATCAAGATGTATTGTCTCTTCATCAGTAATTCTTCTCTTTTTGGTGAGAATTTCTTTCATGGATCGTGCATACGTAGGCATCTGTTCAAGTGCCTCCGCAAAGGGAATATTGATATGCAACTGCTTGAAAATATCCAAAAGTCGAGTGTATTTCCTTTCTTTATCCTTTTTAGTTTGAACGTGAGGATATGATAGATTTTGTGCTGGTGAAGCGATTATTTTCCCCTTGTCTTCTCTCCGCTTTATCAGTTCAACACATTCATTCATTTTCCCCTTAAAAATAAGCTCATTAAGTTTAAACTTATCTCTATTTAAACTAGGTTATTCTCCATCTCAAAGTTACAACTTGGAATATATGAAACACTTATTCACAAATGAGTCACTATAATTATAAAAACAAAGTTCATTTTACCACACAAGTTAATAGCAATGTCTTGAGAGAGGTATTTTTATTTTATGGAATCCAACAACAGAAAACTAATTTTTGTATCCCAACTAATCTGAAATAGAAGATTAATAGAAATCCAATCCTTGTAGATGTTGAATACAATATACAGATTAAATACATGAGTCTTCTGCAAAAGTAACAATTATTTTTCTCTTTTAAAGTAATTATAATTCAGAAACACAACCCGGCTTCGCCAGCGAAAATCCATCACTTGAAATCATTACAGAACAAGATTACATCTTTCAACTGAAATTCATGGTTCAAATGTGAGGCTTTCAGCTTCGCGTCTCACCGATTCAAACAGCACAGAGGATAGGTACCTCTCACCAAAGCTAGGGAAAACAACCTGCACCATATTAAAATGAAAATGCCATTGATGTATGCCATAATAATACTTTTACCAAAATGAATATGCAACACCTAGCCTGATATTCAAAATAGTTTTATCAAAATTCAGATGACTTCAATAAACTTACAACAATAAGCTTTCCAGCGTTCTCTGGTCTTTTCGCTATCTTAATGGCAGCTGCAGCCGCAGCTCCAGATGATATTCCAACCTAAAACAATATTCACCAAAGAGAATCAACAAATAAATCCAATCAGAACGAGAAAATAATACAATCGTTTTCCTAATTGTTTTACAGAGTCAGATATGAATCGCGAAAGAGGATCAAGAATAGCCTCAATTATTGGTGCTTCTAGAGGTTTAGAACTTACAAATAGGCCATCTTTAAGCGCGAGAGCCTTTGCAGTTTCTATTGCTTCATCACTTGATATCTGCCAAATCACACAGATATTTAGATATAAAATGCTCTATCTTTAAATCTTTTCGCGTGATACATGACGGGGAATCGTAAATTTTCAGAAAACATTGAAACTTACTTGAACTACTTCATCAAGAAGGCTAACATCCAATACTCCCGGAACAAAACCAGCACCAATCCCTTGAATCTTGTGTGGACCTGGACGTTTATAATGAAAATTTGCACATCATTAACAGCTTCAAAAGTAAGTTATTATATCAACTCTGAGGAGTAAAACAGCATTGCAACTTACCAGGCTTTCCTCCGGACAGTACAGGACTTTCAACTGGTTCCACACCATACAGCTGCATAAAACAAATCAAAACTATAAATCAGAACCTAATCTTTATTATCAGGAAAAGAAAAAGGGAGTTTAATTTGTATACATTTTCGGAGTCAAAAGTTCAATTTTATCGGTAAATCACAACCAATCAAATGAATGGCTTAAAATCCAACCTTGATGTTGGGATTCTGCTCTTTAAGGTATTTCCCGGCGCCTGTTATGGTACCACCAGTACCTATGCCACTAACAAGAGCATCAACTTTCTCTCCTGTGCCTTTCCATATCTCCGGGCCAGTGGTTTCATAATGCACCTATAAATACAAAGATATAACAAATGTGCAACCCGAATTTGTCGAGGGTTAATGACCGTAGTTGTAGAACACACGAGTAGATACCTTTGGATTCGCAGGGTTGTCAAATTGTTGAAGGATATACGCGTTTGGAGTCTTGGCCAATATCTCTTCCGCTTTCTGAACTGCCCCTTTCATTCCCTTTGCAGGATCTGTCAGAACCAACTCAGCCCCAAAAGATAGAAGAAGGGTTCTTCTTTCAAGACTCATTGTAGTAGGCATTGTAATGATAAGCTTGTAGCCTTTTGCTGCTGCTAGGAAGGCCAATCCGATGCCCGTGTTACCGCTCGTTGCCTCAATGAGGACACTCTTCAATAACACAACATAACCAACATGAATCAAAATAAGCACCGCTGATAATAAACTCAGAGATACATTAAATTAGTACTAGTAAGTGAATTTAAACGTCGCATTCAAAGACCAATCCGATGAATTTTCATCTGTATCGCATACCAACCTGGCCAGGCGTAATGAGCCCTTTCTCCTCAGCATCAGTAATCATACTATATCCAATCCTACATTTATAACGTATATCGAAAGAAAGAATCAGAAACCAATTCAAAATCATTTTGCTCAGAAATGCAAGAGCCAAAACTCAAAAAAATTGATACTATACTAGCACTATTGGAAGAAACCTAAATTGTTACCTGTCTTTTACACTGGAGCATGGCTCCATCAATTCAAGTTTCGCGGCAATGCGAGCAACAGAACCATCCGCGATTTTGTTCAGATATACTAAAGGGGTTTTTCCAATCAACTATACAAATTACAAATACAAATACAAAAATAAATAACACAGTATGAAACATTAAAATAAGGGGAAAACACATCAAAATACAGAAACTCACTTCTGTAACATCTTTGGCAATTCCAGACCGTTCAACCGCCATGCTATAAGCTCACTGTATATAACACTGGAAAACAAAAACAAAAACAAATTATTCACATCCAAATTTGCCTTAATCCAATTGAGATCTTAACTCCACTGAAAATTAAAAATCAATCCAACTGTTTGATGCATGCATTCGTAGAAATAAAAAGGGCAATGCATGACAAGTGTTAATGACATCGATAAATTAGAATCATTCAGCCATGAAGGTAAACCTGGTTTAGATGTTTGATTAGAATTATTAGAGAGAATAATGTCACCTTTTGAAAAATGAAAACAGCTTAGGAGTATGAAAATATCAACAATTAGGGCGTATATATAATGCGAGATTAGTTCTGATTTTTGAAAGTTATGATAAATTAGTAGATAAATTTATGAACATAGACGGTTTTTTGGCTTAATAAGTTTGAGAGATGTTTTGTTTGTGTTAGGAAAACATGGGTGGCTGTGATGCATGCAATTGGATTTTGGTTTGGAAAATATTGAAATCTGATATGGACTTTTGGACGATGATAATTTTTATGCTATATATGACATAAAATTTAGAAAAAAAAGAACAAAATTTCTATTGTATTTATTAATAATGCAACACGCAACACAACACTACCAACAACAACCTGTTAAGGGCAAAAGGCCAAGCAAGGACGGCAAACGTAAGAACTTGTTTAGGTCAAGTATTACTTTACTCAAACTATAGGCTCATATTTAACTAGAGAACATTAAACATTAAACATTGTGGGACTTTTTTCTTTCTAGAACAATCTTTGTGAGAGATATACCATATACTCACCAAAAATCTCAAGATAATAGGTGTATGGGTTCTCTCACTTATAAATGTTTAAGTCACCACATTTCTATCCAATGTGGGACTGTTATCCACACTACTCAGACTTGTTAATACTATTCAGGTGTTTAAACTACTTTTACCATTATATCATTTTGTAAATATTGGATTTTTTTTAATTTATCCGTTTTTACTAAAAATTTGTAGTTTGTATTGAAAAAAATTTAAATTTTTATCTTTTTACCGCAACAAAGACATAATGTGAATTTAGAATTTTCAGTATAAACATATTAAATATTGTAAAATTTCAAGTAAGAACATATCGGAAATTTTACAATTTCTAGTAGAGTTCTAGAGTGTTTTATTGAAAATTATGAAATATACGAAAATTATCACAAAATTCCGAAAATTTTAAAATTTCTAATGTGTCACAGAATTTCAAAAAATATACTAAAATTTTTGGTATTTCACATTGAAATCTGTTCATTTTTTTTCCTGTTTAACTAATTCGATAAAAAAAAACTATCCAATATAATATATACATATAATAAAAACTGTGCGACATTCAAGATTGCAAAATCAATTAGGATGATTTCTAACTTCGTCTTCCTAGTGCCTAATATGTCTTGCATATTTTGATTCTCATGTTTTTGCATCTTCAGTACAGTTCTGTTTCCAACGATGAGTGATGGAAGACAATGGACTATCAGGTTTCAACTTTACCTGAACCCAATGATTGTTGTTGACAAAACCAACAACAATGATTTTATGCATGCTCGTATACATAGATGGAGTTAAGGTAGGAGGGGGAAAAGGTAATGTTAAGTCTCTTTGACAGGGAGATAAATACGACATTGTATCTATAAGCAATAAGGTAACACATATCAGGAATCGTCATCCATTTATCAATATCTTGCACACCCAAGTGTTCTACTCGTAATACATTCCTAACTTCAGATATTGTGTCATACAACAAATTGGAAAATAATTCAGGGTGTCGATGAACGTGTATCTAACTGCGTCTGAATCAAAGGCCATGTCTTTTCGCCCCATCCAAGTAAAGTTGTAATAGCCCGAAAACCATAATTTTCATCGTCGCAGACATCAACAATGTCATCAATTTATGGATGTAAGAAATAGGAAACTAAGACAAGTAAAGATGCCTCAAAGATGCAGTGGACGGTTGACATTGACCTGGCATACTTGACGGTTGACTTCTAGTTGGTTTCGTACATGATCTCTTTGTAGTCTGACTCCCCTGCGACCCCTCACCATGCTCCCACTGTGAAGGATCACGATGTACACCACCCTCTTCACCATTTTTACTCCTTTTATTCCCCATTCTTTGGCTTGAACTTCGTCGGCGATGGACTCGTAGAAGTTGCACTCTACTTCTAAATTCAATTGTGTTCCACTTTCTTCATGATTGAAATCATACTTTTCAATGTGTAATTTCTTCCAAAAAAAATATGAATTGGTTCTATAGGAAGAGGTTTTCCTTGCATTCGGGAACCGGCAAGTTAACACGCATAAGGTAACCCATGTGTTGTTCTGATGAAGCAACCACAAGCATTTTGGCTTGCACCAACAAATTTGACCACTTCTAGTTCCTTTCCAATGTTCTGTCTACATTGTCTTGAAACATAATTGTGCAAGTTGGTATAGAATGAAGTGTTATACCGATGTTCAATGTTCACACTAGTTTTTTAAAACGAGTCCCTGATTGAACCTAGCTGCAACTTCGGTTCCGACTTATAGTCAACATGTTTTTTAATCTCCAATGAGCAAACTCCACCCTAAAAAAATCAAATAAGAAATATATGTTAAATTATGTTTAGTAATGCAATAACATCAAAATGATGTTTGTGTACATGTTTGTTGTTGTGTTCCCTAAATGAGTGACTATGTTAATCCAAGTAGCAATAAATCTCTCTTTATAAGGTATTAACCATGTTTCTTTCACGTATTTAACAAATAAAGGAATATCAACACAAACAGTCTCAAGAGCTTCAAGTGTTTGACAAACTCAGTTTCTCTATTAGCATACATGATGTTGTTCCAAAGATCCATGATATGTTCTTGTATTACGGATTTAACATACTTTTTATATTTCATACTAACGGTTTTTGAAATATGGAATGAACACAACAAATGAGTTGAATTTGGAAACACAATTTCCATGGAATTCATCAACGCAAGTTCTTGGTCCGTAACTAGAACCTTCGGCGGAAAATTCTCGGAAGAGAACAAGCCTTTGAGCTTCTCTAGCTCCCATTTTAAGTTCTCCTCCCTTTCATGTTTCAAACAGGCAAAGCCTACCAAAAACGTCAACTTTGTTGACGTAACACCAACAATCTCAAGCAACGGAAGCCAGTACATGTATGTTCATGATGCACATAATCAAAAATCTAATAAACGAAAGTATGTCGAAAAGATATCAAAAATCAACATCTGGTCAGTACCTATTTGTCTTGTATGTACAATCAAAAATCAACATCAAATGAAACATATTCAACAGCTTTAATGAATCAGGATGTGTCCAAAAGATATCAGCAACAACATTTGAGTCTTCCCTATTTCTAGTCCAACACGTGTATTTTTCTCTATGAATAAGACTAAGCAACATTTTCATTTTCGTCAATGGATATCTCTTGCTCGCATTGTATGTAGCTCTAGCTTTATAACTTGAGTAACACTGGTGAGGTTTTTTGGATCTTTGTTTTTCAAAGCAGGAATTATGTACCGTAGAATCATGTTGTACTTCGTCATGTCATTCACAAACTGTCTTCCATGAACTTTTAAACGACCCAATATGTCATGGCCTTCTAAATCCTTATATAGTTTATGATTGTACAACCCACGCCTAACTATCATCTTTCAACTGCAACCATTCGGGACAAATCTCGCCTAAAAGGACATTTCACTTTCATACTATAAATGTCATCTGAGGATTTATTGATTTCAAATGCATTCTTCCTTTTATAATTTCCTCATTTCCCATAACCCATAATTAATTTATCTTTCCCACCCCGCTTCCCATTTGCAGCATCAGAACGAACAATTGCAACAATAATACTGTGTTGTTTGTCAATGTTTTGTGCACATGTTACCTACTACTTCAGATCAAGACTCAATTATCTGTCATTTATATCATATAAAAATTATACAACCAATATCATATAGAGGTGAAAAAGTATTTAAATTAAACTTATTACATAGAAAACATAACTCGTCAGTGGTGAATAACTACGTAAAATTTATACACGAATCTTTAGAAGACTATGTCGGCTCTGAACCACACAATTAAAGCATTTTTCTGTTTTATGCACTGCTGTGGGAAATTTGGATTATATGGAAAATTTTCGGTATACCTGAAACTATGAAATATTTATTCTGAAATATGTTAAATTTTTCGGAAGTTTTTGTCTTTTTTCGATAATTTCAATAATACCCAGTATGGGTTTAAGATTTTTCAGGAAAATATCGAAATTTTTGAAATTTTTTATATTTCTTCAATGGAAATTTTCAAAAGTTCGATAAAAATGCAAGAATTTTCAAAAAAAAGCGAAAAAAATATGTATCGGAAATTTCTTTTGCACTACCAAAAATTTCATTTTTAGAATGTTAGTAAAAATGAAAGTTTTTAAAGAAAAATAAATTTTGATTGATAAATAATAGCAGAGACATTTTTGAATTTTATAATTATAAGAGGTGTCAGATATAAATATGGGGTGACAAGTTAAAACTTTCTATAAAATAAGAAAGATATTTAATAGACTTAAATAGTCTTGTGGTCCCTGTATTATTTTTTTTTCTGTTATTCATTTTTTTAATTTCTCATTAGTTCCATGTCAGCTTTTTTTTAAGTTATAGCAAGCACAACTAAATGGATCTACAGCAAAATCTTTCAAAAATAGCTTCATGAAGGTTCAAACCCTATATCTTTAGGTTACACCATGCACACTTTACCACCAAATTATTTGAGTTGCTTGTTTTATGTTTGTAATATATATATATATATATATATATATATATATATATATATATATATATATATATATATATATATATATATATATATATATATATATATATATATATATATATATATATATATATATATATATATATATATATAAATGTATTACACTACACTTATATAAACTTATAATTAACGTATTACACTGCACTTATTTAATACTGCACTTATATAAAAT